AAGGCAGGGATCCCACCTTGGCCGGGGCGGGCAGGAAGGTAGACAGGCAGAGCTCCCACCGTGGCAGGGAGGGGGAAGCAGACAGGCAGGGCTCTCACCTTGTCTGGGGTAGGTAGGAAGGTTTGATTTTTCTTTGTGTGGTTGGTTTTGGTTTGTTTTTACACACTTTCCTTTCCCTTCCTTTTTCCCTTCCTTTTCCTTTCCCTTTTCTTTCCCTCTTCCTTTTCCTTTCCCTTCCTTTTTCCCTTCCTTTTCCTTTCCTTTCCCTTTTCTTTCCCTTCTCTCTGACACCGATTTCCTATCCTTCAGCAGTCTGCATTGACTGAACGGAAGTTTAATACTCAGTTTTTTCAGAGAGACAGCAAATGCAGTTCACACTGATTTACCCTTGAAATGCTGAGGTATTGTATTACAGCCCTTGGCAGCGAGTTGATTTGGTTCCATTGCTCTTTCATTATTGCTTCCCTTTCCAATACTCGTGGTTGTGGAAATGGAAAGAAAAGAAGAAAAGTAAATGTCACATCCAAGATAAAACTCTTTAGTTTGACTATTATCTCTGGAATTTTTAAACACTTATAGACACATCTTTCATTTGTCACTACATTTTTTCTTTTTCTGGCTAAAGAAATATTTTGTAGAACTTTCTTTATTGTATATTTTTCCAAAACCATTTCATGCCACTTTGTACATCTTGAATAAAAAGTATGCTGTTCATAAACTGATCATTCATATTACACATTTTAAAGAGTGATGGGTAGAGGTTGGTTCTTGTTATCTGTGCCTCATTTGCCAAGCTAACTTTTAGCACACTTTTATTTCAGACATTTAATTCTCACTTTATGTCATTTTTGTGATACTTCAACATTTTGCTAAATGTCAGAGATAACCTTCTCCAACTGTTGTTTGTTCATTTATTCCCTGCACAGCAAAGCCCCTTTTGTGAATTCAATAGTGGGAAACAGATGTTCAGACTTCTGCCTCTCTTAATGTATGAATGTAGATTGTCTTGTTGAGTTTCTTAATGGTATCATGCTATCACTTTCAATAAGTGTTCCAGACAAACAGTGCACTTATTTTTCTCTTTCAGTGTAGAGTCACTTAATGTGTTTTGGCTAGAACAATTTAATTATATATAATTATACTGAAAGAGTTGTTTTAACTCGATTGCTGAAACACTCATCAAACTGACCCTTATTTTTTATTTACATTAATTTCTTTGTACACTGACTGGTGGGAAAACCTGATTTGTGTAATTAATGCTGGGCTATTTCTCAAAAATTGCACTATAAGTAAATTTCTACTCTCTGAGTAGCAGATATTCATTCCTGGCCAATCAAATCACTCTTGTTATATGTTGTATTCCTATACTATAATTATGCTTTTCAGATGGACTATTAACTGCTGTGATGTTACTTAAATGAGAGCAATTCATCAGCATGCTGATATAGTTAACTATGATAAGCTCTAGCCAAGTACTATGTGAGTAACAGCACAGAATTAAATTACCTCCTAGTTTTGATCTGTTTAGCAAAATTTTAATGCCCCTGGGTGTGACTGTTTTCATTGGCTCATCCAATTCTTTTGCTCAGAAAAAAAAAAAAAAAAGAGAAAAAAGTTTTGAAAGATATATCCTAAAAATGCACTGGGTTGGAACCAATGGTGAGCTGCTGAGCTGATTCCTGCATACAGGTGATTATCTTACGGTTTTTTTGCCTGATCTTGAGAAAGATTTTATTTGTTACTTAATAAGGAGCAGCAATTTAAATCCAATTTATGTCAACTCACTATAAAAACCAGCTTGAGATGAGAAGACAAATTTGTTAAAATGTCCCTCATACTTCCTGACAATTTCTAGAGAAGTTGAAAAACATTCCCTTAAGCAACAGTTACATCTTGACTAGAAGCTTCTCATGGTTCACGTTCTCTTGAAGTCACAAGATTCCTACACTGAGTTTAGGAGCAGTTCTGTACAAGGAGTTAAGCTGAGGCTTTTCCAGGTGCCATGCAGTAAATCTTGGGTAAGCATTTGCATAGGTACCAGTGGGAAGGACTAGAAAAGCAGTTGTGGGATTTTGAAGGTGAAGTTGGTTATGTGCTCCTTGATATGAGTTTGTAGGAAAGGATAATCCAATCACATGAGAGTATTCATATATACATTCATATATACATATATACACTTTATCTATGTATCTTTTTCTATTGAGGATTGATAGCAGACAAGCAATATGCAACATCCAGTACAAGAGTTAACAAAAAAAAATAAAAAAATTCTTAGATCAAATCTTACTCAAGCAAAAGGGATGGAAACACAGTGCCAAGTATGCATCTGAAATGGGCATCATGTGAATGCTATGGAAGTTTCAGTAGCAACATCACAATTATGAACAGACTGAGATTCACACTTCCTCCACCCTTTAGCATTAGAATTCAGCTTTCAAATTTGACACAATAACTTTGGAGCCCCAACAGAAACACATTTTCTACATAAAGTTATTTCAATGAAAGCCTTGCTTACCTTTGCAGAGGAAATACACAAAACTTTCCTAGTGAAATGTTATTTTCATTAGTCCTCCACATAATCAATCTTAGGTCCTCACACTTTCAGCCTCCTGTGTCCACATGTTCTGATAACACTTTTGACAGTCTACTTCCAAACAAATAAGGGGATGAACGGGTACATGAATGAACAATTATTTGAAGACAGACATAGGGAAAGAGAGAGAAGGAAGACTTACTGTGACTGAGGAAGATAAAGCATATTTGCAAGTCCTATGTGCATGTAGGAAAGTTGAACAATATTAATACCACAACAAAATGGTTCTATACTTTGTCATCTAGATAATAATCCTTTCCTACTGTTAAAATTAATTCTCATAATAGACGGGTGTGTGTGGCTGAGATGCAACAAATTCTGTCTAAAGTTGTCATAAGCTTTCTATGATTTAGGACAAAAATTCAGGATTAAAGATTCTGAAAGATTTACTTGGTTGCACATTGTAAACCTTGATGCATAGATATTTGGAGATCAAATTCTGGAGCACAAGGTCAGCAAGGATGGCCACAATGGCCCATTTTATCTGTGCCTCAGCCCTTCTCTAAAAACTCTTCTAATCACCACCTGATGACTTGTGAGTGACATTATCAGGATTTTCTTATGAAGGTATCTTGCAGGTCATTTATAAATGGGAGAGAAAAATTACCTAGATCAAAGGTTTCTCAATGCCCAGGGAGCTGCAGCAGCAGTCACTGAATGGGGGGAGGAAAAGAGACCAAGAGAAAGACAATATAGAGTGGAGGATGAAGTTCTCAGCAGGCAGACATGCAGGCATCTGTCTTGTCCTATGTGTTGATCCCACTTGCCTGATAATCTTCCAAATTTCCCAAACACTCCTTCTTCCACATGTAAGTTTGGAATGCAGAAATAGATTTGCTTTTTTTTTCTTTCAGTACATGCCACAGAAGTTAAAATTCAAAAAAATAGAGTCAGTGGTGACTAAAATTGCTGGTACTTGAGTCAGTTTGTAGATTATGAGCAGCCACAATGACTGCAGAACATGTTTCATAAATCATCCACTATTGCCCCAATATTATAGTACTTACTTTGCCAAAACTTTCCATTTCTTCCTTGACTTTTAATAAAGGGAGAGTAGTCAATAGCTTTGCAGGCCTGAGATCAATAAATATAACCTTATGGAACTCGCTAAAATATATTGGACTAACTGGTGTCAGACACACCTTATTTTAATTTTTTTTTCTAAAACAGTTGGAATATAATGCAGAAATCCCAGTTAAAACGTGTTCTTTATATGGCAATTTTAAGAATAGTGGAAAAAATGAAACGTGTGAAATTTAAAATTGTTTCAGTTATGCATCATTTACTATTCTCATTGCCATGAAAAGAAGACAAGCTGTAAGTTAATTCCATCCTCTTCTAATTCCGTTCAACACACACAGTGACTTCACAGTCAACTGAACTTCTATCAGATCTGCAGTGGAACACTCAGGTTAAAGCTCCATGAACAAATTTCAAACAACTCCATTGCCATAAAAGTAGTATATTTTATCCTTCCATCTTGTAAACTTATTATGCAAGAACTGTAATTTCTATCCATATAATTATATATAACTAAAAATTACAATTTTCATGAAACTTTGGTTTTGATCTCAAATATGAAACTGAGTGCTGTAATCTAAGAGAAGGCAATTTTCATCATTGCAAGTCCAAATACAAGTTAACTGTTTCCTCTGCATCATACTTACTAAAACATACCTCCTTCTAATCTTTTAGAGTAATCCTCATTAGTGTCATGGAAAAAAACGGGATGAAATTTGACT